CATGGACCACACGAAACGGTTCACCACCTCCTCAGTGCCTGCCCCGAAATAGCCCCGAGGGAGTACTTGTACAGGGACGACCAAGTGTGCAAATATGTGCACTGGTGTGTCTCAAACAAAGCCGGCCTGGAAGTCCAAGAGAAGTGGTACGAACACCAGCCAGTCTGTTGTGGAGAACGCCTCCACCAAGAAACTATGGGACATGCCTATAATTACAGACAGCAGTATAGACTGCAATAGGTCGGACCTTACGATCTATGAGAAGGAGAAGAAGACCGTCCTCCTCGTAGATGTGAGCGTCCCAGCCGATGACAACCTCCAAGAGAAGACCAGGGAGAAGCTGGAGAAATACTCCTAACTGAGAGTGGAAATGGAACAGTTATGCGGAATGAAGACCACCATTGTTCCGATCATCATGGGCACAACTGGCGTCGTCCTGAAAGACCTCAAAGGACATGTCAGGAAGCTGAGGTGTGAAATCTCACTTGATATCCTCCACCGTATAGCAATCTTGAGCACGGCCAGCATCCTTCGCCGTGTCCTTCAGAATTAGGCGAATGTGAGGTCTGGAATGTGGTTCATCCCCCCTTATCTCCAAATAACGGCAGGTGCAGTGGAAGGATTTCCAATATCCAGACGATCGTGACNGACTTTGGATCCCTATATGGTGAAATGAATGTGACTTTTAATGTCCATCAACTTTTGCATATAGTAGATTCTGTTTATAATTGGGGTCCATTATGGGGCTTTTCAACATACCCCTTTGAAAACCTTACAGAAAGGTTAGAAATCTGAAACTTTGCACACATGTACCTTTTCGGGTGCAGAGTTCAGAAAAAGTCCGACTTTGGAGGTACATGCCCTGGGGGTTCACATTTTGGTGGTAGAAGTTTTTCTTAAATATATATCGTGATGGATAAGGATGTCATGGAAAGATTCCATTGTATGCCGCCGTTTCGGTTCTGTGGTACCACAGTAGTGGTAGCACATCGCGCTGCTGAATGTGAGGCCGGGGTTCAATTCCCAGCCATACCATGCCTTTTTTTTGGCTGCTCTTGCCTTCCATGTCCCGTTGCTTGAATAAAACGGAGAGACTTGGAAAGCTGAAACGTGGCATGGACGTGACTACCGACACGATCAGTTCAGGAATAATACAATATTTTAGATCCATGCCCTGGGAGCATATTTTTTGGGGCCGACGTTTTCATGTATTTTTTTGTCCTGGTGTATTGAGCTAGTGTGGAAAGATGAAACTTGGTATATAATTACCTACCTGGATGCTGAGTGCAGAAAAATTCAGACTTTGGAATGAAATGCCCTGGGGGCATGAATTTCAATGGGAGATGTTTTCACAATTTTTTTTCATTAGTTAAACCGATGGACACGGAAAGCTAGAACTTTGCTGGAATGTGACTACCAAGATAAGGAGTTAAAGTAAAATGTTAAGTTTTGATACATCGCCGGGGGAAAATTTCTCGAGGGGTGATGTTCAAAAGAAAAGAAATTGTCATGGCGAATTGGGCATAAATGGAAAGGTGAAACTTGGCACACATATGAGTGACGTGATATTATTGAGTTGAGGGAGTATTCAGCTTTCATGGTGGATCCCCTCTAGGCATAGCCTTTGCGTGGGTCGGCTTTTCCAAACATGAATTTTCACCAGCGAAAAGGGCAAACATATAATATGGACACTTTGTGGGCATATAGTTCACTGAGGTTTGATTTCGGTAAAAATTGTACTTTTCGGTTGAAACGCACAATGGCATATATTTTGCAAATTTTCCTGAATTTTCTGAACTAAGCAATTTTCTGATCCAGCAAAACGGAGGGTGCAAGAAAGTTTAAACTTGGTAAAGAAGTACCTGATGAATAGCTTAGTAAAAAACAATTTTACTTTCATATTATATATAGATGATCGTGAGTAGCTGATTGACAGACATAAGTAGCTATTCACATGCTGAGTTCACGAAAAATCCCACTTTGGTGATGCAAGTCATAGCGCCACACCTTTTCGGGGAACATATTAATACTTTCAAATAGTTCTCTTTGTTTCAATCAAACGGAGACCCACGGAAAAGGAGTAGCATGGCAAGAACGTGACTGGTCAAGCACTTAGCTCAAATGTCAATTGTCAAATTTCCGAAGTATTTTTGGGGGGGCATATTTCTTGGGGACGTAATGTTTCCAAAGATTTTTTCATATCCTACCGAATCGGGCAGAAATAGAAAGTACCTGACGCTCGCATAACAGCCGTCATGTTGATTTAAGGAAAAAGTCAACATTGTTGTGCGTCTCCTCAGAGCGCAGCTTTTCGGTGGATTGCTTTTCCAAAAACATTTTTTCTGCCAACAAAAAGGGGAAATGTATAAGGCTGAAACAAGGTGGCATGGAGGTCCCTGAGTCTATATTTCAGAATAAAAAAAATTTTCGTTAAAACCCATCAGGGCATTTATTCAGTCCCATTTTCCTGAATTTGTTTTTGATCCAACGAAACAGAAAGAGAAAATTTAAACATGCTTCAGAAGTGCCTGTTTGATGGCTGAGTAGAGGAAATATCCTACTTTTGAAATATGTATGCTTAGCGTAGATTATAGGAGTTCGACATATTAGAAATCATAAGTAAGGATGTTGATAAAAAGTCAAGGCTTTTTTCTCCATATATCAAGTATTTCAATGGGAACCTACTTTAAATACGTGTTTGCCATTTCGCAAGGAATTAATGAATTAATGACTTTCCAAGGTAATGGAGCACCGAAGGAGCAACCATAGCGAGGTTATTTGCCCGAAGGGCAAACAAACTCGCTAATATATAATAAAAGTAGAATTTTTTCTTTACTTAGCTATTCATCAGGTACTTCTTTACCTAGTTTAAACTTTCGTGTGCCCTTTGTTTTCCTGATAAAAAAATTCGGAAAAATACGCCTTTTTGCAAAATATGTGCCCCGAGCCGTTTTAATCAAAATATATATTTCTTTTTTTTCATCTATCCTCAGTGAACTACATGCCCAAGAGTCTCAATATTATACATTTGCCCTTTTCGCTGGTGAAAAAGCATGCTTGGAATAACCGACCCACCCAAAAGCTATGCCCGGTGGGGATGTACCGTGAAAGCAGAGTACTCCCTCAGCCCAGTAATATCATGTCACTTAAACGTTTCACCTTTCCAAACCATGCACATCTAGTTGACTCTCAGAATGTCATCCTCATTTGTCACAAAATATATTTCAGCAAAACCTTCCCCCCCCCCCAAAATGTGCACCCCCAGGGCATGTACCTCCAAAGTCGGATTTTTTCCGAACTCTACAGTACATCCCAAATGGTACATGTGTACCAAGTTTCAGATTTCTAGCCCTTCTAGAACATGGCTAGAAGTCAGTCCGTCACGTTCGTCTATCAGGCAAACAAACTAGCAATGGTTGCGCCTTCGGCACTACATTACCTTGGATAGTGATTAATTCATTTCTCCATGGCAAAATGGCAAGCACGGAGAAAAAAAAAACTACGTCCCATTGAAATACGTGACTTATGGGGTCGAAAGTCTTTGTTTTCATCTAAGTCATTACTTCTTTGGTTTTTAGTTCCCTAACTCGGAATGTTTTCTCCTGTCCCTTTTTATAAGGGTTAAGGATACATTTTGAAATGCTTCCCTCCAATAATCTACGCTAAGGGACATTACAAAAGTAGGATTCTACTCACCCATCAAACAGGCACTTCTGAGGGATGCACCGTGAAAGCTGAAAACTCCCTTAACTCAATAATATCACGTCACTTATATGTGTGCCAAGTTTCACCTTTCCATTTCTGTCCAATTCGCACGACAATTTCTTTTTTTTTTTAAACATCGCCCCTCGAGAAATTTCCCCCAGGGATGCATCGAGACTTAACATTTTTCATTAACTCCTTATCTTGGTAGTCACCTTCATCCAAAGTTCCAGCTTTCCATGTCCATCGGTTTAACTAATGCAAAATTAACTGGCAGGGAAAACATTACAAATGTTTAAATTTGCATTAATATTTAAATATTGCAATATCATGTACATGTTGTGTATCATTTAAAGCACCTTTTAAGAGTTTGCATTTCATCCCTTGCATTAGGATGCTTATTGCCTAACTAAAGAGCTGCATATTGTTTGGTATTTCGACCATTTTGTCAAAGTCTTATGATATGTCTGAAAAGGTTTAACTTAGGATGGTACAATTTTTTATTTTTACTATCCTCCACAATGCCAAATAGCATGAATTTTCTAAATAAAATGTATTACAGTATAAGTCTCTTTCTTATAAAATTTACAAAAAATTTTGTTGGTGGGACATTACTAGATATGGGATAATTTTGATTTGATATGTCGCCTCTCATATGTATGACCTTGTATGAATTTATCACGCTGTCTCCTACCATGGCGTAGCAATGCACATCAGCATCAGGAGCTGTAGTCCTGTACCTAAGAGAGAAAACATGCATGACATGTGTNGGGGGGGGGGGGGGGGGGGGGGGTGGGGGGAGGGTAGATGAAGAATTGTGTGACTCTGCATTATTCATTCTTTGCAGGCAGGATATAAGACGCCTACTTCAAGTGAGAATGAACAGTGAACATAATTTAGGATAGGGGCAGTAGATCCGGGATTAGGAGCGTCACATCTACATGGCTCTCAATTTTTACAAAATGATGAACTTGCCTCTCCTCTTATTTAAATCTGATTTTCCTGTCGACATTACTGGATTCCTAGATTGTTTCCGATTTGGTACATAAAAGCGATGAAATTCAGGGCGAGCTTTCCCCCTAACAGAAGGAGCTAATCCGAAGAGTTTTATGCATCTTAGCGAATGTCTCCACGCTCCACGTTATGCTCACAATAGACGATTCAAATTTCCACCTATTAGACAGCCAGCAGCACTGCTGACATGTATTCAGAAAATTTTTGATTTCATTCACCCGTTGTCGGGATGCGCAACACCCCACCCGTCCGGTACAGATTCGACAATTTCACGAGGCCTCCAAATGGATGGGAAGATAGTGAGGGGCGGGCCGATTTTCCCTGCCGCGGAAAAATTGCACATAACTGTGAGATTTTCCCTTTCTTGTCCCATTGGCACAACGTTCCCATTCCTGGCTCCACGAGGGAGCCAAGACTTTGCCACTCTTGGGACAACGTTCCGACGCTGTCTCATCCGCATTCCAGATCCGTTCCGGCTCCGAGAATGCATCAGCACCATTCTCATTGCAGATTTCCTGGTGAACGTTCTTGAACCAGCTTCGAAGGTCCTCCTCCGAAATGCATGCGAAAGCCTTCCTGATTCCTTCTGGGGTACGGAGGGTTAGCTCCGGGTGCCGTTCAAGAAACCCTTGCGCCAAGCTCTTCTTGGACGATTATTCACAAATGAATTTGACCACTGTGCAGCATCGAGATAGCATTTTGCGCTATCTTGTACGCCGTCCCAATTCCTCGGGAACCCCTTCTTTTGGGATGCAATGATCCAATTGACGAGCCTCCTCTCCTCGTCACGTGTTTAAACTTGAGGTGGCCCTATGTAAGCTTTGGCTTTGCCTTCAAGACGAGCAGACATTGTAGTTTTGGTGTACTTTTTTTTGCTGTTTGCGATGCTCCATTTCGCCATAAAAAATTAAATTAGCTGTCGTTCGATTAGGCTTAGAGAGCTTGCTCTGGCACCGTCACCCAGTGTTGCCGGATACCGTGCCGAAATTATGCTAGATTCAAGACTGTTTCAACCTTCGTATTGGCGTCTGGATCTTCTATTTTTTAATGCATGAGACATGTTTATGCTGATTTCATGAGATGAGTTGAGAATGAAGCGATGGTTAGCTGTTATTGATCGATGTGGTAGGATATGCTGATATCTTATTCGGACATCCCTGAATTAACAGGATGGCGCGTACCATGGATTCCCATGGCAGCTCTTCTTGGACGATTATTCAAAAAATGAATTTGACCACTGTGCAGCATCGAGATAGCATTTTGCGCTATCTTGTACGCCGTCCCAATTCCTCGGGAATCCTTTCTTTTGGGATGCAATGATCCAATTGACGAGCCTCCTCTCCTCTTCACGTGTTAAAACTTGAGGTGGCCTTATGTAAGCTTTGACTTTGCCTTCAAGTCGAGCAGACAGTGTAGTTCTGGGAACTTCAAACTGCTTTGACCCCCCACGTACAGTCAATAATACTTGGCTACATGAGAGTGTTACAGGAGGGCGAGCTTTCCCGTTCCCTCTTTTTTTTAGAGTCTTTAGAGTACTTGAGACACCGTGGGTCTGGGTGGTGGGGCTTAGAAAAGGACACGAAGGTCAACAGTACTCAGCATATATTTATTTCTCTTCCGTCAGATAAACAGTGGCAAGTCAGGCATTGGGGGTTATTTGCGGTCAGCTTCTCCATGGCACTCTGCTTTCGTATGATCTAAGCCGTATAGTAAGTAAGTAATCTGATCTGAGTCATGACTTCTTACTGATCAAAGAATGGGCATAACTTTCGACTCATCCAGTACCTGATTGGGTGCAGCAGATAACGCGGACATTTACTCGACGCCACATACTGTACATATCCCACTCGTGGACTAAGCTTGTAAAAGTTGACTGGCAGAGATGAGCCACAATTGGCCTTGGGATAAACTGCAGATATGGAAGTTGCATACCGAAACTATGGAACATAAACAATTAGCCAATTTCACAAATCGACTTTGGACGTACTGAAAGCTGATATACTAAGATTTACCACGTGACGTTTTACATGATATAATACCAATTGCTCCCACGCATGAAACCTATTGATTGCGGCTGTGGTGCAGGATGAGGTGATTGCGCTTCTTGAAACTAGTTCTCAAATCACAACTACTCTGGGATTATGTAAGCTTCTATTATTAGTTGTATCTCCCTCCTATCCGCTTTCACTTCTTTTTCTCGAAGTGGAGAGGATCAGGAATAGCTCCTTTCCTGAATACTCAGAGGCAGACCTTAGTTAATTGACGTCTTAAGTGAAAGTGGCTTTCGTGCGACATCTTCTCCACGCCGGAATATAATCGACACAGAAACATTTCGACAAGAAATGCTATTTACATTATCTTGAAAGACTTTTTCTCCTCTTTCGTTTGAGCTATAAGCGTTTTCTACTGTCATTAAAATCTCATTACAGGTATTTTAAGCGATGTATAATTTTCGCACTGCAATCGTCCGTTTATTCGAAGATGGAGAGCGAATTTCTGAGATCAGCCGTCTGTTCAATGTGCCATGGACAACTGTCTCTGATTCCGTGAAACGATACCGACAGACTGTGAGTAATGAAGACAGGACAAGAAGTGATAGTCCGAAATAGGCAAGGACCGCTGCTATCCGACGAAGCATCAGAAACCGAATTCAACATAATCCACATTGGTCCACAAGAAAGCTTGGCAAAGCTCTCGATATCTCAAAGAATTCTGCCCAAAGAATACTCAAGGAGAATCTGAAGCTGAAGCCGTACAAAAATCAAGAACGACAATTGCTAACAGAAGCTATGAAAGAGGCAGGACTCGAGCGATGTCGATAGCTGAAACGCAGGTTTGTTCGAAATTCGCATCATTGAATTATGTTTTCAGATGAAATGCTTTTCACGATAGACCATGGCCACAATCGACAAAACGATAGAAGCTGGACACCTGAGCCACCACCCAAGGAGTCAAGAGGCTTCACTCATGCACAAAAATTCGAATGAATAATGCATCTAGAAAGAGTGAGCTTTCGATAGACTGGACGCTTGTCATTATGTGATTGTGATTTTGAATGACAATTTCAGTTCGGAAAAAATCACGGGGACATTTGGGACACTGTAGATCTGCTTCGACAGATGACTTTCTGATTCATACCGAAACGGAACAACATCAAAAGTAACTGCGCCGGCATGGAATTACCTCAAGAGAATTTTCTCATGTCAAGATACTTCTGATTCGACGTCGTTCCTGTAGAAGTAATTCCGCCGTACGCTGGTGTCGAAGCAGTTCCGTGTCGATGCTTTACTTTTCGATGTTATTCCGCGAAACAGTACTGGAGGCATCGCAGGCAGTTCATTTCAAGTCCGAGCACATTCATGGGGTATCATGATTGCAAAGAACAAAACAAGAATTAACAGACAAGAAGGTACGGTAGAAGTCTGATGAAAATGGAACAGAGTAGATCATGGCCCGAGGTTGAGGTGAACAAGAATAAAAACCTAAAACGTATCGACTTCCATGAGAAGTCAATAGTTATGCTGTAAAACTCATATTATTATTCTAAATTGTCAAAACTATAGAAGTCACAACTTCATTTTCCTTCCCTGATGGCATTTTGAAGATAGAATTTAATCGATTTATTCTCGAAAGTAAGTAGTTTCGGCTGTACAACGTTACCTCCAAGTAAAACAGGTATGCCCTGCAGAGAGAAAGTTTCATTACAGCGCCAACCCACTTACGTGCAATCTAACGCATGAAATCCATTAAACAAATGTTTGACTTGGTCTCAGAAGAAGTGATCGATCTTCTTTAGCCTGTGCCACGTATAGAACCTAGCTCATTCTACTCTTTTCAGTGGAATATTAGCCATGACGATGAAACTTCTCTCCTTACGTGCAGCGAAGCCAGTGTTCATAATTTCTTTCTTCTATTCCTGCTTACACGGTGTGATCTCGTCAGATGTTATGGTCTATCGTGCTGCACATCCGTGGAAGAGATACGAGAACATCTCATTTCAAACTAAAGAAGCGAATTTCCAAACTTGCAGCAAAAGATGCGTTCTTCAGACACCCCCTTGCTATGCCTTCAGCTATCGTGAATCCGATGGATCATGCCAGCTGGTTCTCGATGGGAAAAGCGACCTTGTGGAAGCCAACGGATTTGAATCCTTCGTTCGGAGTGAGTCATCGACTTAAATTAATATTCGGAAATATGCCAAGAGAATGAGAGAATTCAGTTTGTCTAAAACACAGGACTGTGCCTGACGGAGTATCCGAAGATTGAGAACGCCACCGTATCCTTTGAGGATTGGAGCGGAGAATACCCAGCTCCAACTGGAGGAAGAGTTATTTTCCGTTGTCCGCATCCCAAAGGATTCTCTGATGGTTCTCAAGTCCACACGGCTGAATGCTCTTCATCACCTGATTCTTGGTGTAGCTCCTTCAAGGGAGACACGATTACATGTAAGATCGTCAAACAAACTTTCATAAATACATGCTAACTCAATCCTTAATGCAGATGCCAAGGTACAGAATTGAGTATTTCTTGTCAATCCTGAGTTTCGTCTATGGGCACATATAGCGATAGGGAAACATTTTTTTTCCACAGTGTTAGATAAGTATTAGTCTTTCAGAAAGTTATTATTGCTATGATTTTATGACGCATACCTGTATTATAATGTTTCAAGCAAACTTGTTGTCTTGAAGTAAGAATTATATTAATATGACAATGTCTATACTCTATTGTCTCTGGCACGAATTAATCATTTGCATATGATATTTAATGTAAAAAAATTAATGAGCAGGAATTGGTTATAGTGAGCAGTGAGAAAGCAAGGAAATCCATAGAGTTTACATATGCGTATACGCTTTAGGCGTTTGGGTTGTGTGACGTCACCTCCCGAGGAGTCCGGCCTGTTCACTTGTATGGCCTCGCCAAGGTCAGTCAAGGTGTCGGAATATGTTCGCAGCACCAGGGCTTCCAATCTGCCGAGTTAAAATGATTAAATTTTGGTTTTTGACTTTCCTTCCAGAGCTGTACATTTTTTTGCAAAAGAAATTTAACGTTTTGACTACTATTCAAGGAATATACCAGTTTGAAACTCGAAGAATCAATTTCTGACAAGATTTCTAGTCTAGACTCCACCTTATCTGGTAGTATACATTTTGAAGCTGTGCGCCTTCATTTTAGTGTAATACTTCCCCAAATATCGTCGATTACAACTCTCCCGAAAGTCAGGCGACGTCCCGCCTCTTTCAAGCATCTCCAAAATGGCTCGACTCATGTCTTTTCAGACATGATTTGGAGCTCAGAGTCCACATGTTCAAATTCACGAGAGGAATGTTTGTTTGAGGCACGGTGGAATGATTCATTGTTTCTGCTATTCTTGAGGGAAGCACGAGGCTACCAACATTTAAAGTGTGTCCTTACGAATTCATATTACTTGCATCATCCAGGGAGGAGTCTCCGCTTTGAATGGCACAAGATAACAAAGAACAGGTATTTACAATGTGCCACTCATTTGCCAGAAAAGGAATATTATATGTTAGAGGTAGTTATAAAAGTCATATCGGAAGACATCTCTAGGTAAGAACTGATACGAATTTCTCCTGGCATTGGGAAATTCCATCAAAGGTACTTACTTCTGCGCTTGACACATACTTCTACCCTTGATTTCACATGGAATGTCTGGATGAAAATGATATTAATTTCCATATGTTTGCATCGATTTTTACTCTTCTACAATAGTTTATAATTTGCAGGTAAACCGTTGTATAAGTATCCTGAGTGCCGGTTGACAAAGAGGGGAAGAGAATACATTGGGAAGGAGAATACGACGGAAATTTCCTACTCCAACCATATCCTCCTTATTCATTTACTAATTCAATCGGCCCATCTATTGCCTCAAAGAGTGTCCGTCGCGAATGTTTCTTAAACGACAAAATCTCTCTTTCCAAAATGAAACCAAACCAAAGCATGGGGCCGTGAGGTGAACTATTCCCGCTCGAGCTCGCCTTGGGCATGTGTATCGAAAAGACAGGCGATTTTCTTGAAATCTTCACGTATTGAATGATGATTTGGGTGAAATTCAGAGGGTTTTTGCCATTTGAATCACTTTGCAGGTATTTCTTCTTTGCCCAGGGCACATGCCATCGAGATTGTATGAGCTTTATATATGTTTTAGTGGCCTTCCACCAAAAGACTAAAACCTTTGCATTGCTTATCAACTAAGAACAATCATTGCCAGATACTCCCTGATAAAACGTAATATACAGTTATTGATGGAACACATACAAAGTTTACCATATGTCAGACATCATAGGGTTCTATGCCCCAGAGAGGGAGAGCCTTGTAGGCCTTCGTTTGCTTTGATGAGGAAAACCTAAATGCGCCACGCCATGCGTGCCTCGCCTGCAACCGTACAATTTCTTTTCTTTTTTTTCACTGTTAAAATATGCACCAACGCATTCCACACATCCAAAGCTTTCCGATTGATATCACATGTATCGTTCGACAGGTGGTCCACTTCGTATTTCCCTTAAGGGTAATTTTTAATTAGTAAAATTAATTGAATGAGTACTTGAATGTAAAGGACATCGTTGAGATCTAATAGACTGCCTAGTCCGATCCAAGAGATGGCACTAAAGAAGTAACATAAGGGGAAAACCAACACAATCTACTCATCAAGAGCTTGCGATTGATAAATCACAGGCACTAAACGACGGGTTGGAAGACTTTCCCTCATGGGCAATTGTCAATTAGCAGAAAGAAAATGCAATTAGCAATCAGATTTAAAAGGCATCGTTTACATAGAAGAGGCTGCTAGTCCGATCCAAGAGAGAGCACTAAAAAGGTAGCATCAAGTAAATAAATGAATTAACGTTTTAATTAATCAATTAACACATTATAGTTTTGTGCAAGGTTCTAAAGCATGACAATCAATATGAGACCACTCTCACCATCACACGATTTCTCCTTCATGGTTAGGTGATTCGGTAAACTTTGTATTATATATGTGGATTCCATGTTTTGCTGGTTACAAAATATTTCAGGAAACACGCGCCCACTCTAAATTGAAATGAGTAAAAGAAATGAACTGTACTTTTCTTGTACTGTCCGCTCAACCTACCACTCTGTACACATTTTTCAGGTTTATATATTCTAACGAAAAAGGCAATAATTAGCGTCGGTCGCCTCAATGACTCGCGATCGTCAGTATACAGGATGATCATGAAGTCTCTATCTTATTCCAAGGCGAAGTTTACTTACGAGAATATGCTTATTATACATATTATACATATGATTGCTGGTGTCTTCAGGGATGTGAGACGTTTCTGCTACGCCTCCGATAGTCACCAAACAGTCAACATGTCTTCCAATAGTCAATATTCGCCCTGAGCACGTTCTGTGACTTTGCTTATGCTTTGCATTGGACAGTTGTGTAGATCCGGTTTCGTAGAAACTGTCAAGTGAAGTCATGCTTACATGGTAACACAAAAGTTCCGTACACTTCATAAAACCGTTGCTGGTTCTTAGCTCACATATTTGAACATGTTTAGTTTGGTTTCTATATAAAGCTAAAGATACGCGGGACTTACATGCATTAGCACTTTGTGAACCCCTATTGATTTCGTCATGTCATTGCTAAATGAAGATTGTCCGTCTGCTGTCTTCAGTTTGCATGAAACCAGGAAGTCTCCCTCTGAGATCTTCCGACTGCTCCAGAACAATGGGCACCTGACGGCACTACATGAAATGTGTACTAACCAGCGGATCCTTCAGACAATCTCCACCGAAGATCGCCATCAATCGTTTCGAACAAAGTATGTGTCAACCAACGGCAGCATTAATAGAGGTCAATCTCGACTTCATCGAAATCCGAATTAATCGCTAAGATAAATTGCCAAATAACGAAAATAATTCGGGAATCGCTCCGGGGATGGTCAACACGCTGAACAGCACATTCGAAACTAATCGAATCTCCGGCCTTTAAAGTTCCATAATGCTCGATTTCTCACTGAACAAGCGAAGTAGACTAGTTTGCAACGATCCCAGTCGCTGCTCCGTCGGTTCGCAGATGTCAGTAATCGCAAGATCCTCTTTTCTGACGGTAAGCTCTTGACGATCGAGCAATATTTTAACTCACAAAATGACAGAATGTGAGCAGCGGAGTCGTCACGCAGCTCTCCAGACCTCCGTCGTGTTACTCGCACTCAAATGCCAGCTTCTGTGATGGGTGTGGGCGGTTATCACTGCAAAGGAGAGCACTACACTGATTTTTCGTTCTTCTTTTATGAAGATTATAACAAGAATGTCTACGTTGACCTTATTCTGGAGTAAAACCCTGGGCCAAATAGCACATTGGGAACCGCAAATGGACTTTTCAACAGGACTCTGCGCCATTCCACAAGGTAAAGATCACTGGGGCCTTCTGTAAAGAAGAATTCCCTGACTTCATCACCTCCGCAAAATGGACCGAAACTTTTTTTGAGTGAAGCACCTTGGAGAACCAAGCCTGTGCTACTCCAAAAGCATCGTTCGAGTCTCTGGAGCATGCCCTCCTAACGGAAAGGCTCGAAACCAACCAATATTCGCAAAGTGCTGCAGTCGATGCATTTCCAAAAGACTTCGCGATTGTGTGAATGCAAGAGGTGGCTATTTTGAGTGATTTTCCTGACGTTATCTGTTGAAATAGTTGCAGTTTATAATAGAGTTGTCACCGTTTGTTCGCTGTTCAAAGAAGTTATTAAATGTTGAGAAAACTCTTGCGTCACCTTGCATACCTGTAAAAACCTGGGATTTCATGAACCCCACAAAAAGGCCAACGGTTTAATGGGCAGTGACCATGCCATACGAAAAAATCCATTGGGATCCTTAAAAATTTCTCTAGCACGAAGTCCTATAGGATTCTCAAGGTTTACCAATACGAATCTCCTAGGATAAGACAGGAATTCTTTAAAATCCAGTCAAATTCCTATGAGATTCCTAGGAAAAAGAATAACAGATTTCTATTAGAATCCTATGAGAAACTCCATTAAACGACAGCACAATGGGCTGTTCAGGGGGGGTCTGGCAAAAATAAAGACGTTTTGATTGAAAATAAATTTTCAATCGCGTTTGAGCGAAGTTTGAGCACAGCGTCTCTCAAGGAAGTAAACGATGTTTCACTGATTTGAGCATCAAACTTTTGTCAAAATAATCTCGCAATTGGACAGATTTTCTCTTTCCAGTATTCAAATACAGGGTGGGCCAAAAAAACGCCCCAAATTTGAAGTTTAATAACTTGGGCCCCGTTGAGCCAATATCAATTTTTAAAAAAGCAAAATGAAGCTTGTTCAATTTTCTTTCGAATGATATGTAATATTGGGGAGTTTTCTTCAGAGAAATAGCCGCAATTTCAGTTTTTTTTGCGACAACATTTTTTCTTGAAAATGGGCTTTCATTCCAAGTTCCTTTTCCTCAACCTCGAATTTATCACTTACAAGCTCACATACACTTTTAATGATACAAAAATGTTTCAATGTGCCCCCCTCCATGATCTACAACAGCCTCATGTTACTCCCCTCATGATCGCATGATCTCTCATCAACCAATCCGTATCATGAAGGGCACGTGGGAAAACGGGGTGCGCGGGAGAAAAAGGCGACAGCAGCAGCGCGACCTTGGAAAGAACTCGAGAAATTTTTTCATCAATTCTTTTAACTGTAATCGCGGCCATTTCTCTCCCGCAAACCCTCCCCCCCCCCCGGAATTATACATCATTCTGGAAAGAAAATTGAACAAGCTTCATTTTGCTTTTTTAAAACTTGATATTAGGCCAACAGGGCCCAAGTTATGAAGCTTCAAACTTTGGGGCGTTTTTTTTGGCACACCCTGTAGATCTCGTGCGATACCTTTTTCGTAATGCCACAAGAAGCCATTCATGACACATGAAAATCTCATGTCGTTCATGTTGCTGCAACTTACTGAGAAGAAACTCCCAACGGTTTTATTCCTAATACAAGAACAAACTTCTGTAAAGAAGAAGGTTAGTGCGCTCTAATACAAAAAGGTAGAGTCCAGTAAAGCGAAAAGATTCCTAATTTTTCAATCATCCCTGGAATTACCCCTTTGTGCTTTACAGGGGATGAGACAAACAGTTGCAAATGAATAATCATTTTTGCTGGGAAATTACCTCACGCATCTGTATGAACAAAATAAAAAATTACCGCAGTCTTTCATAGTCTACCATTCTTCAAAATTGGTCAGAATTTTTACAATAACGATGCATATTTCATTGTTGTCTATTTGACAGTATCAAAAGGGAATTTTTAATCACTACCTCTGTAAAATATTATTGAATTTCCACGAATCTGGTTTTCTATGTATGTGACAAGAAATGTGGGACAAATATTTCGCATGGATTTTTTTGGGCCTATTTTAGCCTGCTAACCCACGATGGACTGTCCCATATATTTATTCTGTGGTAGTACTGCCAAATTGAATCATGCAATGCCGGAAGGTATCGACTGGAACTCAACATTCAATTAGCTCATAATTCATTTCTCCTTCTACATTATTTTTTTTTAAGTTGCTATTACGGAATAAGAGGATAAAAAATGGTACTAGTATGGGTGCGTTCCTTTCATGTATACCAAGGTACTTACTGATGCACAATTTTTTATTGTGTTGCTGATTTTCGAAATCATGCATAATGGTTTTCCAATAACTTTTTTAGACTACCACGTAGATGCCATTGAAGTTGAAGTTCTGTTTCTCACAACTTGCGGATTACGGTCACTTTCCGAGGGGAAGTAAGAAGTTGCCAATAATCGATATCTGCTTTTCCATGAACAGACCCTCCAGAGTGCAAGATAACTCAACAGGGCGGTGAATATATTGGAAGGATGAACAAGAGCCACTCAGGATTCGCATGCAAACCTTGGGAGAAACCTTGGAGAAGCATAAATCCTGGAGTAGGATCGTTCTTCTTACCGGCATTTCCGGATTACAAAGAAACTGAAGAGTCACACAACTTTTGTCGTAACCCTAATGGAGACGGCGCTCCTTGGTGTTACATTGCAGTGGGAAAACCTTTCCTTGAATTCTGTGACATTCCTTTCTGCGAGATTCAAGAACTTCAAGCTGGATCCGAGGGGAACGTGTATCCCGAATGCAGACTGAGTGAGAAAGGAATGGAATATGTGGGGACAAAGAATGTGACTGAGACGGGAAAGCTTTGCCTTAATTGGGAATCTCAGCCGTATGGTATGCCATGGGATTTTTTCAATCAGGAAATGGGATATTGGGATCATTTCATCAATGTGGATCCATCAATCCACAAGAATTACTGCCGGAATCCTGCTCTGTACAGGGAAAAGCCATGGTGCTTCGTCTCTGACGCAGATATAAAGTGGGAGTACTGCGACATTCCCTTCTGTCATAATCTCGGTGTGTCCCTCAAATCAATCCTGACAATATTGGCTGCTTCACAACTTGAGTGCGGTATCATTCTCTTTCAGAGCCGCAAGAATGCAAGCTGACTAGAAGCGGCGGTGAATATGTCGGAAGGCGGAATATGACCATATCGGGAATCCCATGCCAACATTGGTTGGCAAGATTACCAGATTATCACGATTCCATTAGTGACTCACTTTCAGCATTTCCAGATGAAGTTGATGGAAGCCACAACTTCTGCCGCAATCCTAGGGGGAATGCCCATGGTCCGTGGTGTTATTCCAGGCGATCGAGCTCTACGTTCACCTGGGAATATTGCGATGTTCCTTTTTGTCCTCGGACAAAGGGAGAACGATGTGATATTCGTGTCTCGGGAAATTGCATAAGTATGCCTTTTTTTTAGTTTTCTCTAATATCCTCTGATCCTTCTCAATCATTTCCCTTGGCTTCATGGAACACAATTCCATGAATTTTCCTCCCATTTTATGTGCATTGCATTCCGCCTTTTCTTTTCTTTTTTGTCCAGGTCCATTGGAGTGCAAAAATAACCGAAGAGGTGACAAATATATGGGAACGAAGAATGTTACGAAATCAGGTTACCCTTGCCAGCTGTGGATGAGCAGGTCACCCAATGATTACTATCCTGAAGATTTCTATGTGCAAGCTGAATCATTCCCGGACGACTTGCATCCTTCTCACAACTTTTGTCGGAATCCTACTGGAAAGTTGGACGGTCCTTGGTGCTATAATGGAGCTGGAACTCATCCTCAAGTAGATGAGTGTGATGTAAATTTATGCTGAAGCTTTCTATGCTCTCGGAGAAAAGGATATTTTTCATCCTCTTGAGATAGCTATTGTATACCTCTTGATACCAGTTTGAATGAAAATAATAATGTCAATATGCAGCATGTTTACGTAAAGAAGATATCAATTCTTTGCAAAAATGTAAATTTATTGCAACTGCCAAGAAAATGACATCACCTTCACCTATAGTTTACGATTATATATTTTCATCCCGAAAGTGTGTGTATATTTTATAGAAACTACACGTCACTCCATCTGGCGTGAAGTACACATTAGGTTTTTGCCAAATTAACACCACACCATCCATATGAAACTTAACCTGAACATCCCACAGTTGCAGTACCGAGATTCCTCACTAGATGGACCCCTTGTTCCCAGCGCCCTACATATGCTGTTAATTACTGGTTTTCCTGATATAGTATAATGTTTTCTTACCATCCTTCCACATTTTACTATGCAATCCATGAATATATATATGGAACACTTGAAATTTATAGATATTTTGAAAATATTATTTGACTCAAGGAATCATTAAATGCTGAAGCAAAGCTTGTTATTACGTCAGTGTACGGGAATAAAGAATAGAATCCTACCTCCTCAAGATAATATCTTCTTTAGTCTTAATAGGAGAGAGCTTCCCTAAACATCTACTCCTCCTCCTCCTCCTGTGGTTCTGGTACGGAAGGAAGAAGCAGTGGGCCTTCTTGGTACTCTTCAGTGCTGGTAAGGATGAGTACCTGTGGACTCATCCAAGAATCCTATAGTTAAAAATTATGGAAGAGAATGGGAGAAATACAGTACATCAATTCCCTTTAAAAGTACGAATTGGCTAATAAAATACGCATTAATTTCAAGGTGAAATTAACATATATTATACGTAAAATGAACATAAATATGCTGCTTGGGCGGTGTCCTTCCCTACTCAAAAAATACATGTCATTCATCTCCGCCTCACCTCATCGCACCCGCTATATGACAGACACATTCAGTAATGGAAATGAGTGCTTTATTCATGTCCTTTTCTCATATTTTTCTTGGAAGATCCGAGACCTTGTGAGAGAGAGAGACTCTGATGTTCCAGCTTTATTTCATTCGACGGTCGTTTTCCTTAACGCATGGTGTCCATGGGCTGTGTGTGTTTTGCAATGTCTTTTCATGATGTTACAAACGGCATTATTTCTCTTTTTTTCTGTTAAACTTTGTCTGTAATCTTTGTGTACCGGTAGAGACGGTGCTTGTAATCCTCAGCTCGTCTAGACTTCTGCAATGCCTTGCGTGTGTTCGTAATTAATTTAATCATTACCACTTCAGTCATGCATTCAGACCAAAGCTAAGATGTATCACTGTGATTTGCAGCTGTTCAACGAGTTCTATTGGAGATTGCAGCAGTAGCTGGTACGCCGGCTTGGTTGCATTGTTTTGGATGTTTGTTTGAAGTTTTTGTATCAGTTCCTGGTTTGCAAAATTAAAGTGGTGGCCGTAGTTTCAACTTTGGACCTATAAAAATATGTGCAAATATGAAGGATTGTGTTTCTCATGAATCTTCAGTGAGGGGATGTGCGGGATCTCGTGATGTTGATTCCCTCATAGCCGTCATTGCTAAGTTTAAGGAGGTGTGATATATGGTTTTCTTGCTCTTGCAGGTTTTTTTTCCAAGAAACGTTCCTGTCCTTTCTAGCGTCTCTTCTATGTGTACATTTCTTCTTTTCCTATCGATGTATTCGTGAACGTCTTAGCTGTTACCTTACATTTGCTGATTTTTCTTCTCCATATTAGGAAGTATCTAAGGATGTATTCATGGTCCTGTTCTACTCTGTTCATGATTTTTATTTGGTCATGGTATCAAAGAGATATGTAGTCAGCGTATTGGGACAAAGGCATCTTTTGTAGATTTTCTGGGATATCATTCATGTGTATGTTGTACTAGCATATTTCTTCATCCGAAGGTTTAATAAAGTCACTATGGGCGCGCATTCGGCGCACCGTATCTAATACTAGCGAGTTTGTTTGCCCTTCGGGCAAACAAACTCGCTATGGTCGCGCCTTCGGCGCTCCATTCAACCGAAGGGCAAACAAACTCGCTAGTATAGATATATAGACGATCGTGACTGAGTGACTGACTGACTGACAGACGCTAATTCTAACCATGTTCTAGAGAAGTTAGAAATCTGAAACTTGATACACATGTACCTTTGGGGATGCAGAGTTCATAAAAAACCCACTTTGGAGGTACATGCCCTGGGGAACAAATTTTTGGGGAAACGTTTTTTATGAATATTTTTTTGTGACAGATAAGGGTGGCATTCAGAGAGTCAACTGGAAGTGCTGGGTTCCATGGTATAGTCGTAGCATATCTGACTGATAATCCGAAGGTCCTGGTTCAAAACCTGGCCATACCTTGGACTTCTTTTGGTTTTATTTGCCTTCCATGTCCCGTTACTCAATCCCCCTCCATAACATCATTTTTGCTTGAGTAAAACGGAGAGACAAATGTACCTTTTGGGATGCAGAGTTCAGAAAAAAATCCGACTTTGGAGGTACATGTCCCGGGGGTACAAATTTTGGGGGGAAACGTTTTCATGAATATTTTTTGTGACAGATGAGGATGACATTCAGAGAGTTAGCTGGATGTGCTGGGCTCCGTGGTGTATTAGTAGCATTTCTGACTTGCAATCAGAAGGTCCAGGTTCAATTCCCGGCCATTCGTTGGCTTTTGTTTTTCTTTTGGCTTCCATGTCCCGTTAGTCAATCCCCCTCCTTAACATCATTTTTGCTTGAGTAAAACGGAGAGACATGGAAAGCTGAAACTTGGCATGGACGTGCATACCGAGACGATGAGTTCAAGAAAAATGCAAAATTTTAGATCCATGCCTGGGGGGCATATTTTTGCGAGCCAACATTTTAAAGTATTGTTTTTGTCCTGGCATATTGAACTAGTGTGGAAAGATGAAACTTGGTACATAACTGCCTGTTTGTATATGGCAGAAAAATTAATACTTCGGAACTAAGTGCCCTTGGTGCACACATTTCAAAGGGAGATGTTTTCAACTAATTTTTTTGCATCAGTTAAGCTGATGAACATGGAAAGCTGAAACTTTGCATGAATGTGACAACTGAGACAAGGAGTTATATAAAAATGTTAAGTTTCGATACATCCCCTGGGGTAAATTTTTCCAGGTGCGATGTTTTGAAAAAAAAAATTGTCGTGATGAATTGGGCAGAAAGGGAAAGGTGAAACTTGGCACACGTATTAGTGACATGATATTACTGAGCTGAGGGAGTATTCAGCTTTCATGGTGTTTCCCCTCCGGGCATAGCGTTAGAGTGGGTCGGCTTTTCGAAACATGTTTTCTCACCAGCGAAAAGGGGAAACGTATAATATTGAAACGTTGTGGGCATGTAGTTCACTGCGGATTTATTTCGGTAAGATAAAAATGGTACGTTTCGGTTAAAACGGCTCAGGACACGTTTTTTTGCAAAATGCGTAATTTCACGAAATTTCTGATCCAGCAAAAACAGAGAGCGCATGAAAGTTAAGAAAAACTTGGCAAATAAGTACCTGATGGATAGCTGCGGAAAGAAAAAATTCTACTTTCTAATATATATAGACGATCGTGACTGACTGCTAATTCAAAAAGGGGAAACGTATAAGGCTGAAACTGGGTGGCATGGAGTTCCCTGAGTCTCCATTTCAGAAGAAAATTTCTTTTTCGCTAAAACCCATCAGGGCTCTTTCTTAAGTCCCATCTTACTGATTTTCTTTTTGATCCAACGAAACAGAGACAGAAAATTGAAACTTCCCTCAAAAGTACCTTTTTAATGGCTGAGTACAGGAAAAATCCTACTTTTGAAATATGTCTCCTAAGCGTAAATTATTTGAGGGAAGTATTTCAAAATGTATTCTCCACCCTTACAAAAAGGGACACAAGAAAAGATTTAAAGTTAGGCACACAGAATCATAGAAGTAATGATTTTGATAAAATTCGAAACTTTCGACCCCATATGTCACTTATTTCAATGGGGACGTACTTTAAATACGTGTTTCCTTTTTCGCCAAAAATGAATGAATTAATCACTATTCAAGGTAATGGAACGCCGAAGGCGCGACCATAGCGAGTTTGTTTGGTATATCGGTGGCACCTTCCTCTGATCGCTTGGTGCGTTCCAGATCGGGGGCCTGGTCGTGCAAGGGCAGGCGTTCGCAGAAGCCACGAACCAGCCGAACTCGTCGTTCGCCGCGGCCAGGTTCGACGGGATCCTCGGCATGGGATACAAGGCGATATCAGTGGACCTCATCCCGACGGTGTTCGAGAACATGGTCCAGCAGGGGCTGGTCCAGAGGCCGGTCTTCTCCTTTTACCTCAATCGGTAGGCGGGGATTTAAATACGACCGGATGTCGTCACCGAAAATTAATTAAATCGGGAATAAGAGTCGTTGAGAACGAAATTGGCAGGAACCGCGATCGGTTTTTTTATATAATATGCCAAGAATGAAGATCTTTATTTGTGTCGATTATTAATTTGTTGCAGTGACATGTCGTCCGAAGACGGCGGAGAACTCATTCTTGGAGGTTCTGATCCCGACTACTACATCGGGAAATTCACCCACGTCCCCGTGACGCGTGAGGGTTATTGGCAGTTCAAGATGGACAAGTGAGTCGTTCACGCCCTTGGGGTGTCGGTCGTGTCGGTCATGTCGGTCGGTCTCTCGGACAGGGTGAGAGTGGGTCCTCGCGCCGTTTACTGCTCGGAGGGATGCCAGGCCATCGCCGACACGGGGACGTCGTTCGTCCTGGGCCCTCGGGACGAGATCGCCGCGATCGTCAAGGACGTCGGGGCGGAGCTCGACGGCTCGGGGAACTACAGGGTCAGGCCCGGAGAAATTAAATATTTCNAAAAGCTTGGCCCGAAGGGGATGCACCATGAAAGCTGAAACTTTGCATGAATATGACAACTGAGATAAGGAGTTATATAAAAATGTTAAGTCTCGATACAACCCCTGGGGGAATGTTTTCCAGGTGCGATGTTTTGAAAAAAAAATTGTCTTGGCGAATTGGACAGAAATGGGAAGGTGAAACTTGGCACACGTATAAGTGACATGATATTACTGAGCTGAGGAAGTATTCAGCTTTCACGGTGTTTCCCCTCCAGGCATAGCGTTAAGAGTGGGTCGGCCTTTCGAAACATGTTTTCTCACCAGCGAAAAGGGGAAACATATAAGATTGAAACGTTGTTGGCATGTAGTTCACTGAGGATTTATTTCGATAAGATAAAAATGGTAAGTTTCGGTAAAAACGGCTCGGCGACCATTTTTTGCAAAATGCGTAATTTCACAAATTTTTTGATCCAGCAAAAACAGAGGGCGCATGAAAGTTGAAAAACTTGACAAATACGTTCCTGAGCGCCGAAGGCGCGACCATAGCGAGTTTTTTGCCCGAACGGCAAACAAACTCGCTAGTTCTAGAATATGATTAATTCATGTGCAATATCCCCAAGTGGCATGATCATGGTGAAGCAACGTTGAATCAATGGTATTGCGTCAATACAAAGAACTTCAATCCACTTTCCAAGTAACACGCCTTCGCTTGCGAGGAAGGGAGTGTCAATAGTAGTTGGCCATTAAACAGATGCTTGACTATGTCTCAGAAGAAGTGATCGATGTTCTTCAGCCAGTGCCACGTATGCAACCTAACTCATTCTACGCTTTTCCGTGGACTATTAGCCATGACGATGAAACTTCTCACCTTACGTGCAGCGAAGCCAGTGTTCATAATTTCTTTCTTCTATTCCTCCTTACACGGTGTGATCTCGTCAGATGTTATGGTCTATCGTGCTGCACATCCGTGGAAGAGATACGAGAACATCTCATTTGAAACTAAAGAAGCGAATTTCCAAACTTGCAGCAAAAGATGCGTTCTTCAGACACCCCCCTGCTATGCCTTCAGCTATCGTGAATCCGATGGATCATGCCAGCTGGTTCTCAATAGGAAAAGTGACCTTGTGGAAGCCAACGGATTTGAATCCTATGTTCAGAGTGAGTCATCGACTTAAAATAATTTTCAGAAATATGCTAAATATGCTAATGAGAGAATTCAGTTTGTCCAAAACACAGGACTGTGCCTGACGGAGTATCCGAAAATTGAGAACGCCTCCATATCCTTTGAGGATTGGAGCGGAGAATACCCAGCTCCAACTGGAGGAAGAGTTATTTTCCGTTGTCCGCATCCCAAAGGATTCTCTGATGGTTCTCAAGTCCACACTGTTGAATGCTCTTCATCACCAGATTCTTGGTGCAGCTCCTTCAAGGGAGACACGATTACCTGTAAGATCGTCGAAGAAACTTTAATAAGTGCATGCTAACTCAATCCTTAATGTATATCCCAAGGTACAGAATTGAGAATTTGCTGTCAATCTAGAGTTTCGTCTATGGGCACATATAGCGATAGGGAAACTTTTTTTTCCCATAGTGTTAGATAAGTATTAGTCTTTCAGAAAGTTATTATTGCTATGATTTTATGATGCATACCTGTAGTATAATGTTTCAAATAAACTTGTTGTCTTGTAGTGAGAATGATATTAATATGACAATGTCTATAATCTATTGTCTCTGGCACGAATTAATCATTTACTTATGATATTTAATATTAAAAAATTAATGAGCAGGAATTGGTTACATTCAGCAGTGAGAAAGCAAGGATATCCTTAGAGTTTACATATGCGTTTACGCTATAGACGTTTGGGTTGTGTGACGTCACCTCCCGTGGAGTCCAGCCTGTTCACTTGTATGGCCTCGTCAAGGTCAGTCAAGGTGTTGGAATATGTTCACAGCGCCGAGGCTTCCAATCTGCCGAGTTAAAATGATTACATTTTGGTTTTTGACTTTCCTTCCACACCTGTACATTTTTTTAGAAAATAAATTTGCCGTTTTGACTACTATTCAAGGAATATACCAGTTTGAAACTCAAACAATCACTTTCTGACAAGATTTCTCGTCTAGATTGCACCTTAACTGGTGATATACATTTTGAAGCTGTCCGCCTTCATTTTAATGTAATACTCCCCCAAATATCGTCGAGCACCTCTCCCGAAAGTCAGGCGACGTTCCGCCTCTTTTAAGCATCTCTAAAATGGCTCGACTCATGTATTTTCAGGCATGATTTGTAGCTCAGAGTCCATTCTGGTGTACGGTATACATATCGGAGAAAAATCTTCATATTCACGAGAAGAATGTTTGTTCGTTTCAGGAGCCATGGTCGAATGATTCATTATTACTGCTACTCTTGAGGCTGCACTAGGCCACTAACATTGAAAAGGTGTATTTACAAAGTCATATTATAATACTTGCATCATCCAGTGAGGAGTCTCCGCGTTGAATGGCACAAAATAACTAAAAACAACTATTTACAATGTGCCACTCATTTGCCAGAAAAGGAATATTATGTGTTAGAGGTTGTTATAAAAGTCATATCGGAAGACATCCCTAGGTAAGAACTGATACGAATTTCTCATGGCATTGGGAAATTCCATCAAAGGTACTTACTTCTGCGCTTGACACATACTTCTACCCTTGATTTCACATGGAATGTCTGGATGAAAATGATATTAATTTCCACATGTTTGCATCGATTTTTACTCTTCTACAATAGTTTATAATTTGCAGGTAAACCGTTGTATAAGTATCCTGAGTGCCGGTTGACAAAGAGGGGAAGAGAATACATTGGGAAGGAGAATACGACGGAATCAGGAAAGGAGTGTCTGCGATGGGACCCTCAACCTTACGAAACACCCCATGACTTCTTCGAAAATGTTACATATTCTGAGCACTTTTCCAACCTGGATATCTGGTCTCACAAGAACTACTGCCGCAACCCATCTGGAAGGGATAGGCCATGGTGTTTCGTCATGGACAAAGATGTCGAATGGGAATATTGTGATATACCTATGTGCACGGATACAGGTAATTACTCCATTGTTGGCCCTCTGTTATCTTCATGGGTTCCCCCTCACTTAGTGATTGTATTAGATCAAATGATATCTTAGTAATTTAATGCTGGTGAATGTATCTCCAAAGATTTCCTACTCCAACCATATCCTCCTTATTCATTTACTAATTCAATCGGCCCATCTATTGCCTCAAAGAGTGTCCGTCGCGAATGTTTCTTAAACGACAAAATCTCTCTTTCCAAAATGAAACCAAACTGAAGCATGGGTCCGTTAGGTGAGCTATTCCCTCTCGAGATCGCCTTAGGCATGTGTAACGAATAGACAGGCGATTTTCTTGAAATCTTCACGTATTGAATGATGATTTTGGTGGAATTCATAGCTTTTTCGCTATTTGAATTACTTTTGCGGGCATTCATTCTTTGCGCAGGGCACACTTGCATAAAATAACTTAGAGAAATGAACTGTACCTCTAAAATTATATTTTCTTGTACTGTCCACTCGAAGAAGCACTTGTGTACAAATGTTTCTGGTTCATATCTCATCGCGAAAAAGGCAAAAATATGCGTCGGTCGATCAATGACTCGCGATCGTCAGTATATAGTATGATTATGATGTCTCCATCATAGTCCAAGGCGAAGTTTACTTACTAGTATAAGTTTTGATACTAAGGAAGATTGTGCGTCCGGGGCTGTGAGATGTTACTTCTACAACTCCGTAAGTCCATCACGTAGCACTCAACATGTCTCCCAATCGTCAACTGTCGCCCTGAATATGTTATGTAACTTTGGATGTGTTTTGTATTGGACAGTTGTGTAGATTCGGTTTCGTAGAAACTGTCATGTGAACTCAAGGATATTGCGTCTAAAAACCTGTGATTTTATCATGCCACAAGCAAAAAAGTATAATGATTTAAGGCCTAGTGACCATGCCCATACAAAATAATCCTATGTGATTCTTTCTGATTTTTCCTTGAAGAGGTCTCATTGGGTTCTTGTTGCTTTCCTAAGCGTATCTCGAAGGATATGATAGGAATTCTTCAAAATCCAATGCAATTCAAATGTGATTATTATGAGAATAATATCAGATTCCTATTAGAACCGTATGAGAAGCATCCAAAACAAACCATGCGAAACAAAAACGGAGATTCACGCCATAATCATCTCCAAACTGCCTTGAACTAGCTTCGAATGCAATGCCGAACCCTCCGAACAGCGAATCCGGCTTTTGTGCACTCCGCGTTCGAGCACGGCCCACCATTGTTGGCCCGAAGTTCGCACACCCCCCCAAGCTGCTCTCAGTTTCCGTGCGTCAAATCGGATAATGCGGATAAGCGGAAGCGTCGAATCGACCTCACTGTCTACAGTAGGGGCTTGTTGTAGTCGCCAACATTACGCCGTCATATATCAGGCAGCGTGAGGTGACAATATGAGAGTACAACAGAGCATTCTCAAGCGCATCTATCCCGCACACCCATCAAGTTTTGCTGGACATTGTGGACTGTATGTGAAGCACTCCGGATCACCGACAACCAGTCTAGATAAACTGTGGCGAGCTTCATAGAACTACGCAGAGGTTGAGAAAAAGAGTCTCAGCTTGGACCCTATATCCTAGTCTCATAGTTTCTTGCTTCGATGCAAAAATTGTAGGTGTAGGGGACTCCGCATTGGGGATTACCCATGTTGGGACTGTGCGGCCACAAGGTGATCGGATACGGGGCGCGTGGGTACCTGTACGTTAATCTGGAAAGGTATCAGGAAGGTTGCGATGTTCAGATATATTCGTATGAGAGACCTCTGTGATCGGCGGCAGAAACCCTGACAATTAGTTATCGACTCACTCCAAGGCGTAGACTCCTTTGAATTACTTAGGACTCCGGATTTATAGAAAAGTTCCGTAATTGGAAACTACGCACAGTTTATTATTCAATGAAACAGCAGGGATACGTGGATGGGGTTAGTAAGAACGAACAGCCTCACTCTAGTTGGGGGACCTCAGGGTCATCATCGTCCTAGTTGTCCGGTGGGGAACCACTGTCACCAGGATTCTTCAATATTCCGCACTGTCCTGTACGGCATCTGCGTGCAGGCTCGGCACAGCTTAATGGGCACCGTCCGTGCGTCCACTTACGGTGGCTCTCGGCGACCCACTGCGGAGAGTACTCAAAGAAAGTGGGACGTAGGTTCTTACGTGTGCGTAGGAGGGAGGAGGATCTTCCCTCTGTAATCATTACGTAATTTTCAGCGGTGCTCGAGGAGGACTCCACAGAGGATATTTAACCGTATTTGAAACTAACATGCTGAATAAGTGCATAGATATTTTGCACTTTTAAAGACTCACCGCCATTTCCATGTGGCGAAATTCAACATGAAGCATATTCTCAACGAATAAACTCCTTCTATGGGTGTACTGCCGAATTGAATCATGCAATACCGGAAGCCATCGACAGGATCTCGACACTCTCAATTAAATTTAGCTCATTGTTCATTTCTCATCTTATATTGCGAACAAAGTTGTAATTACAAACGAAGAAGATGAAAAATATGCTAGTGTGGGTGCGTTCATTCCATGTCTACACACAGATCAACTAGTTTTCATAGTATTGTTACGTTTCGAAATCATGCATAACGGTTTTCTAATGACTTTTGACGCTAGCACATACATGCGATTAAAAACAGCCTTTCGCTTTCCCATAGTTTACGGATTATGGACGCTTCCTTTGGGGGAGGGAGATGTTGCCAAGAACATAAATTTACTGTTTTGTGAACAGACCCTCCAGAATGCAAGATAACTCAACAGGGCGGTGAATACATTGGAAGGAAGAACGTGACCCATTCAGGATTCCAATGCAAACTGTGGGGGGGAAATTGGACAATCACAATACCTGGAATTGGATCGTTCTTCATACCAGCATTTCCAGATTATAAAGAAACTGAGGAGTCGCACAACTTCTGTCGCACTCCTGACGCAGACGTCGCTCCTTGGTGCTTGACTGAAGCGGAAGATCTCGACTTTGAATTCTGTGACATTCCCTTCTGTGAGATCCAAGAAATTCAAGCTGGACCCGAGGGGAACGTGTATCCCGAATGCAGACTGACTGAGAAAGGAAAGGAATATGTGGGGACGAAGAATGTGACTGAAACGGGAAAAGCTTGTCTCCATTGGGAGTCTCAGCCGTATGGTATGCCATGGGATTTTTTCAATCAGAACATAGCATATTCGGATCACTTCATCAATATGGACTCATCCATCCACAAGAATTACTGCCGGAATCCTGCTCTGCACAGGGAGAAGCCATGGTGCTTCGTCTCTTACCCAGACATCAAATGGGAGTACTGCGACATTCCCTCCTGTCATAATCTCGGTGCGTCCCTCAAATCAATCCTGGCGATATTGGCTGCTTCACAACTTGAGTGTAGTTTCATTCTCTTTCAGATCCGCCAGAATGCAAGATGACTCGAAGCGGCGGTGAATATGTCGGAAGGCGGAATATGACCATATCGGGAATCCGGTGCCAACATTGGTTGGCACTATTACCAAGTGATCACGGTTCCTTTGGCTCACTTTCAGCGTTTCCAGATGCAATTGATGGGAACCACAATTTCTGCCGCAACCCTGATAAAGCAGGGCATGGTCCATGGTGTTATTCCGTGCAAAATGACAGACACATCTCCTGGGAATATTGCGATGTTCCTTTTTGTCCTCGGGCAGAAGGAGAACAATGCGGTATTCGTGTCTTTGGAAATTGCATAAGTGAGTCTTCTTTCTTTTTTAATGGAATATCTGCAGATCCCTCACAATCATTTTCCTTGCCTTCATGGAAAACCATTCCATATATTCTCCTCCCTTTTTATGAGCAGTGCATTCCGCCTCTGCTTCTTTTTTTTTAAAACCAGGTCCATTGGAGTGCAAAAATAACCGAAAAGGAGACAAGTATATGGGAACGAAGAATGTTACGAAATCAGGTTACCCTTGCCAGCCGTGGATGAGCAGGTCACCCAATGATTACACATCCGGATATTCCTATGAGCAAGCTAAATCGTTCCCGGACGACTTGCATCCTTCTCACAACTTTTGTCGGAATCCTACTGGAGAGTGGAACGGACCTTGGTGTTATAATGGAGCTGGAACTAATCCTGAAAAAGAATACTGTGACATCAAGTTATGCTGAAGCTTTCGATGCTATCAGAGAAAAGGATATATTTTATCCTCCTGAGGTAGCTATTACATAACCTTTGATGCCAGTCTGAATGGAAATAATGATGATGTGTCCTTCCCTGCCCCTAGAACGCCTACAATTCATCTGCGTCTTCTCTCATTGCCACATGTAATATGACAGAAGCATTCAAGAATGGGAGTGAGTGTTTTCATCGTGTCTTTCTCCTATATATCTTGGATCTTACGCCTGGAAAATCCGAGACGCGATCCTGAGAGAGTGAGACCGAGATGGTCTTCTTTTACTCATGTCTATTTATTCGTTGATCGTTTCCCCTAATGAGAGTGAAGGAATGTCAGCCTTTTTCCTGGAAATTAACTCAAAATTCAAACCAGCGGAATGACTGTTATGGATGAATTGAACGAAATTGTGAGATGTGCTCCAATGGAACAAGTGTGTTCGGTGGTTTACCTTTTCTGCTGCATGTCTGATGCTTTGGAACTGATGTATTTTGATTATGCCTCTGATAGGTGAGGCCTCTTCGTAGACATACCATGGTATCAGAACCTCCTGTAGGCCTGGATATTGTTATTTTTTGGTCATATATGAATAGTATTTAGTAATGAGAATGCGTACCCTTTGGTCCTATTTACAATCGGTGAGTAGTATACCCTCGCATATCCCGGATGTATCCGACTGATCGTCTGACCGCATTGAAGAAAGGCTTTTGTTTGCAATGCCTTTTCTTGATATTACGAACTACATCATTTCTGTTATTTTTTTGGTTTAACTTTGCGAGTAATCCCGGCGTAGAGACAATGCTAGTAAACGTCAGTCTGTCTATGCTTCGGTAATTCATTTTGTATATTCGTGATTATTTTAGGCCTCGCCACTTGAGCCATGCATTCAAGCAAAAGCCACAGTGTAAAAGCCACAAGTGAACACGTAAGAACATGTTATCCTACCCATCCTTTCGGTCATTTTTAGGATTCGGCTATCTTGAAATTAACTGCTTGTCACCCAAACATGAATTGTGCTACCCTTTCTCAGAGCGCCATCTTTTAAAGACATGTGATTTGAATCCCAGCGGGTGATCTCTACCACATTGCATGTGCTATGGCAGCGTAGCATCGTTAATTTACATACTCCTGTATGTTTCGCCTATTTTTTGACGTGGGTGTTGCAGAACTTGCGAAACTCTAGTATTTATTCCTTAGATTTTGGAAACCAGTGTATGTGTGAATATGAAGCATTGTGTTTTTCGTCAATCTCCTGTGTGGGCATGTGAGGGATCTTGTGATGTTTATCCACTTATAGCCGTCATCCCTCAGTTAATGATGTAGGGTTTCCTTTCTCGCAATTTTTCTACAAGAAATTTTGCTGTCTGTTCCAGGGTAATAGTTTTCCCTTTTAGTTCGACCTTTCCTCTTTTCCCTATTGCGGTGCTTACTAGTGAACGTCATTGTGTTTGTCTTGCATTTGCTGATTTGTATTCTCTCTGTTAGGCAGTATCTGTGGATATTTTCACGGTTTTGTCGTGCTCTGTTCTTGATTTTGATTTGGTCACTGTACCATAGAGCTACGTCGTTAACGTATTGGGACATAGACCTCGCGTATAGGTCTTCTGGGATATCATTCACGTATATGTTGTACTAGCGAGTTTGTAGGCAAACAAACTCGTTAAAACTGAAAACTGAACAGAGATGCTTGCTCATGGGTAGCAGTGTTGCCAAAGGTCTCGAGTAAAATGCCCTAAAATATGATTTTTCTTGGTTCACATAGTGTGGTTTTTTCACGGTTGTGTTTTTATTTATTGAACGACCCTCGTAATTGACCTTTTTCAGATGGGACCTCTAAATACATAACGACGGGCAAATGTCTGTATGACCGGATTTTGTCCGGTGAACTCCTCCTAGGTTTCTCAACCGATTTCCGCCATAGATACTTCATTTTATTTATACATTCCGAGGCCGAACGTTCCAACCCACGCTGAACAAATAAGACATATTCCGAATACGACCAGTGGTGAAGAAGGCATTAGGTATGGGCTGGGCTAGGCTGGGCATGGGGGGGTTACCAAATGCGTTCAACTGTGATTATTTTCCATTGAAAATCAATTTTTTTTCCTGCAATCGTCATCCAGTGAACTAAATCGAAACTCACCGTTTAATCACCACGTGTGTACACGGGCTTTCGACTAATATAATAAATGCTTTCCACATCGCCAAAACTTACAGAGATGATCAAGTTGTAAGTAGTTAGTGAACCTTGGCTGGGAATTGGAAAACCTAGCAAAAATATAGCAACATGATGTAAAACTTAATGATGATACATTGTACTTTTTGAGAATACAATTCATTTTTTAATTGGTAGTCTGCATTTCCTTTCTTTCAAACTGTTGAAAGTTTGCGTTCAAATGAGAGATTAATGCAAAACAACTTCATCGTAACCTAAGAAAACCTAATTCTTTCAAACCCTTCAGATTAGAGTAAAAGTGATGTATTATTACTCTGCAATGGATAACATTTCAAATTATACATGGTTCATTGAATTTGTTTTAAGGGCCAAAATAACATTATATTGGACATCTTCCTATGGCAGCTGCAAGGATGCTTTTTAGAGATATGTAAGTCAATTGAAAATATATGCAGTCAGTATGCAATGCCCTTGCATATGCCTCATGCAGAAATGCAGACGACCATCCTTTTGTCATTATACCACTCATGTGTTGATCAGAAATTCCATACCAGTGCAAGGCCATTCTGTTTTTCTGTTTCCTGCAGCCTGGATTTTTCTTTGCCGCTGCTCTGACACGACATAGTTGCCTCTTACTTTTTCTGTCCGGATTTGGAGGGGGTGAAACATGGGTACACAGCGGTAAACATTTATTCCCCTCTCACATTCCCCTCCCCTCTCGTCCTGCCATTCCCTCCTCCATGAACCCCTGCACGTTTATTTGGATATGCTGGATGCGTGCATGACAGGTATGCCAGATAATTACCTGGAAAAGGTACACATTATTTGCCTATTCGAACATGCATTCATCATGCTCCCAATATTATAAGCACTTTCCAGTGTTATGTGATTTTGTGAACCAAGAGTCCGCATTCACCACGTGGGCGCTGATCTATTGCACAATGCAACCTTAACCTATTCCTTTTATTTAGAATTGCTCACTTCACACGTCGAACATAATGAACCTGGGAAGTTCTCGACCTCATGCAACCTTACTACCGTGTCACCTCTCGTCAGAGCGGCCAACCCGGAAGGGAAGCGAAAACATTCTCTGTGTTCTCTTAGGTCAGAATCGAATTGCCGCACGGGAGCAGCGTCACCACTTCATGCACTCGTTTTACAAATTCTGACAATTGCCAAGGTCGATTTCAGACTCCGATATCCACTTCGAAGAACAACACTACGCCTCTGAATTCTGCACATCACATTTTTAATATCGAATCCAAAACGATTTTTTTTTCAATTAAGAGGACCGACTCGCGTTCTTTCTACTAGATCAAAGTCCTTTTTCCGCTCCGCACGTTTGTTTTCCATGCAATGCAGGGAGTGGAGATTGAAGGAAACTGTCGATCAAAAGCAAAAGCATTGTTGAATCAATATTGAATCCATGTTGATTCAATGTTATGTGCTACTAGGGTATGAATTCACCACCCTATTTTGATTGGCTATAACTTTTCAAGGGACAGTCAAATTCAGGCGATATTTGACTCCCATCCAGTCCCTGGTGAAATACAAAACAAATGAAGAACTATATGGGATTTCAAAGTAAACATGAAAACAAATTCACAAAAAAACTGAGAAACTGTGATAACAAACAGAGTCGACGTAGCTAAACCACTGCAACGTACGTGGAGAAATTGGTGAGAAGCCTACGAAAGGAGACTGTGGGACATAAGCCTGATAAGTTGACCAACTAATCAGATCCGAATAGATTCTTTTTAGTGGAACCGCGGCGCCGCTCACGTGGCGCGCTCATGGACTCCCAAGTAGAGCCCTGCACGGGCTACAAGCCGACCCGACCTGGGGGCTCGCAACGTTCGGAATTCCGATTTTCCTTTGTCAGGTAGGGTCGGGTTAGAATTTTTATATTGCATTTGTTGTTATTTTAACGCTACTCTGGTCTCAGATTATGGAAACTCCGTGCTACGACAGGAATCTCATTTTGGCATGTAATCTGACTGGAAGAAAGCACTTCACTGTATGATCATTAATGTAAATGAAGGCAGGAAAAATCTGAGCCTGGAATGGGGCAGTTTATGCCAGTCAAGACCGGAATCAGTTTGGC